ATATGCATAAATAAATATAACTATAATAATACCTTCATGAGTCATGAGTTAATTGTACGTACCTAGTGGATTATTTTGTAACTCGAATGAAGAAACTCATAAAATATTGATCAAAAATATATGTATATACAATATATTTTACAAAGCTTCTTAATATTTGCAGTTTTATGGATATATACCACTACCAAGAACTATCTAAACTATAAACACGATTGTTTCGCATGAGAAACATTTTAATGGCACAGTCCAATAATTAAATCATCATTAAAAATAATGACAGCACATTACTGTAAGTATATCAAAAAAGCCAATTAACAGTACCTAGGTACGTACATTGCTGTCGCAATTTTTTCCAGGCGACTATAAGATAGAAAATAATGAGATGTAAAGGGGTTGCACCAAAAGATCTTCTAATAGTAGTATTTAAAATAATATTTACTTTATTTATTTTTAGGAAGATTTACAGCGACTTTTTAACAATAAATTAATGTCGAGCAACATGTGAAAATGCCAATTACAAATCTCCAATAGTAAATAATCTAAAAAAGTAAATAATAAATATAAAACAAAATATATAAAGTCCATCCGTAGGTAATTAAATACTAAAAACAATGATAAATTCAATTACAAAAAAAAACTACTTGCGGGACCACAAAAACCGGTTGCCTAAAAAGAAACTTGTTTAGGTGCCGATTGTACATGACACAGGTTTAAAAAGGTAAACTACTGCAGAAACTGGAGATTACCACAAAAATTCATAATGATACTGACCTTATGTTTTTTATTTTCGTATTTCCTTCCTCCTCTATCGTATTAACCAATCGCAAAGTTTGTTTTGAAAATTGAACTACTCTTTCCATATACGTCAATTTAGCACAGAGGGCATTTTATTACTGACGAATGAAATGCAAACTAACGGGCGGGCGGCGCGAGCGGCGCAAGAGTGACACATAACATAATCAAGCAACGTGCGCCTACCACTCAGGTCCGAACGTTGTCACCTCCTACGCGAATTCGATATTAATTTAGTTTTCTTAGTAAATAGGTACCTGTACATTCTACACAAAAGTATGCAAATTGACAATTAAATACTTTAGGTATCTACCTCCAAGGAACATCGTTAGAGTATGGTATAGTAACTCTATTTCATGGATAGTAATTAGAAATAAGAAATTGATATTATTATTCGGATAATGCGCCTGAAAAACACGTTAAGCAAAATTACTAAGCTTCCATTGTTTAATAAATCCTTTACAGGACAATTTATGGGGTTTCTGCCTTCTGCACACGATTCCTAAATTTCACAAACTTGCATTTAATAATAAGAACTATTTTTAAAATACAATTCTATTGCATTACATCTGTAAGGAACATATAATGGGTTAAACCTGACGAGCTCGCTTGATTACGGAAGCTGATGCAAAAAGATTAATGAATTCTATTGTCCATCAGACTTGAAATATGCATCTTGTCCAAATTATGTAATGAATGACCGACCCAACAATAGGTACGCGACTGACGTTTTAAAATTATTTTCTAACCGTATTAAGTTATACGAGTCGTCATTATTTGAATCTTTAATTAGCTGCATTCTTTAAAATGGAATAAATCGTAGGAATAAACATAAACGGAATTCATCTGACACTTCTGACAGTTAATTATTAGTCTATGAAAAAAAAAATAAACGGAGTCCAGTGGCCAGTGTTGCCAATTTGTGAGGAATTCCCCTAATTGCGGGGAATTTCAACTCGATTGAGGATTTTGTGAGACTGTCATGTTAGTATTGAATGGACCGTTTTAGCCCGGTCCCCGATATGAAAAAAAACGAAATCAGCTATTGTTAAACAAAGCCGAGCAGTTGGTACTTCCACTGCATAACTTATCAGTAGAGCTCCCTGTGAAAGAGTTCGTCGAGAGAAGTACTGCCACCTTACCTATTACTGCCGCCAAGCAGTAATATCAGAATTACAGTGTTCCGGTTTTGAAGCGTAAGGGTGATAGTGAAATTACAGGCACATGAGACTTGTCAACTTACGTCTCAGGGTGACTGTTATGGACAGACGTGTAGCTTACCACCAGGCGCACGACTTGTTCATCTGTTACTTAATTTTATAAGGCTAAGAAAAACTATTTATGTTTTTTCAATACTTTTTAACGCACGCACTGAAAACCTCGCACTAATTAATGGTAATTCTGTGTCGCTGGTGCCGGGGACACACACATAGACAACCATAAATTACAAAACTATGGATGATTTCATCCATATTATGATATAAAAATATTGAAATTGAGTTAATAATTACATTGAATCAGAATAAATGGCTGACTTATATGAATTCAGAGACTGACGATAGTGCCTCAGGCATTCTACTTAATGCATGTGGTAAAACATAACATTAAAATACGACTTGCTTTGCCTTATATAATATTATTACTAAATATGCGTCTAATTTCAAATAATAGGTGAGCCAGGTGTGAAAGTAAAGCTAAATTTTATCTTTTATGTAATATATAACTTTTACATTCAAAGAATTATCTACCATTCAAGCATACAAGTTCGTTCCAAAAAATAAGGGGTGCACAAATGGAGATCTTGCCGCTCGACGTACCATTATGCCTTACCTGTAGACATGTCTAGTTCACCCTGGACAACAATCGGCGAGTAGGTACGTCATGCTGATTGGCAAATCCTTTCACCACGATGGCAAGCATTAACTATATAGTAATAAATTATTCCTATTCTCTATTCTATTATGTTCTATATATTTATAAATCATATAATTTCATAAACACGAGTGAAAAATGTGCAAGAATTGGTATAATTCTGGCAACCCTGCACAGCGAACGTTAACTTTTTTTCTTTCTTTCTTGGCTTTTCGTGGTTAGCGTTTTAGCCGCTTACAAAGTGTTTTGGTGTTCTTAAAACGGGGAAATTTATCACGGTAAAGAAATAACAAAATTGTAACAAGAACATTCTTTAATGCTGTGACGTACCTACCTACTAAATTTGATAAAAACTGCTGTCTGGAAACTGTGCGGTAAACACTTGGACAGTTTTTTTTGTTGCTGCTCGCGGTTTTCATTTCAGTGTTATGGACACAATATCGAATCAAACGTATCGATGCTGTACTCATGAGTAGTATCGCATAAAAAGTATCGTACGTGTAGTCATAAAAGTATCGAAGCAAAAGTATCGATACGTTGAGGTATAGATACTTTTGTTCTGCAGATTTTCTCTACTTAAAGGCAGAATAAAACACATGAATTTGCCTTTTTTTATTGATTTATGGTTTTTAATTGAAACAAATAGTAAAAGATTTTGATTAATTCAATCAATTGATCAATTCAATCTATCGTCATTTTACATAATTTGTGTTATTTAAATTTCCAATTTCCCATTCCTCCTCAATCACTAAAAAACAAAAATCTATTTTGTTTTTGATACTGTATTGTCTGCTTTTGAGAACAAACGTTGTGAAGAAGTAACAAACTTCTTTTAAAGAGGCAAATGGTGGCATACAATATAAAGCCAAATAATTTGTGATAAAGGTTCCCATTAAAAATAAAATCGCTAGGTGGCTTGCGTTATGATAATGAAGTGTCCTAAGTAGGAATTATTCGGAACGATACGATATTTGTCCAGATGTACTAATACCTGAAAAGTATCGAGTACAAAAGTATCGGTATCGGAGGGAAAAGTACTCGATACCAAAAAGTATCGATACTTTTTCCGTTGCCCTTTTCAGTGTTATTGGTTCTCACCAGCGCTACATGATAAATATAAAACAAAAAAGGAATCTTCCATTTAAGTGACACGTATTCAGCATCAGATGAAGCCACTGGAAGTGGTGCTGGGTCTGTCACGCACCCCTCAGATATTCTCACAAAATAATTATCGTCAGCAGTTTTCACACATATTCCAAAATTGTGAACCTTCCTCGATACGCAGGTTTCATCATGTTTCCCTTCACCGTTAGTTCAATTAGAAAAGTTACGGATTAAAATAATAGATCCATCACACAATTAAGAGAAACCACAGCTCTCAAGACATGTAAAATAGGAAAATAAAAATTAACGCATTTTACAAAAAAAAAATCATTTTATTTCAGATCACTTGTTTGCAAAAAACTAATCTCATTTCATAAAAAAAAGACAATAAAATAAACATCACAGAAAAATACACTGCATAAACAATAAACACTGGAATGTTAGAATTTAAAATTGCTGAAGAATTAATAATAAAACAATGTTCTTACTTCTCACCCTATAACAAATTCCAGTAAAACTTTTTTTATATCTGCGTCAGTCGCCAGAATTAAAAGAATTTTTTTGAGAGATTTCGGCGCTTAGGAACGACGTAGCCACCGCTTCAGCCTCTCATAATTATCTACAGTAAAAATACAGCTATTTAACGCCGTTATATTATTTAATCATTTGTACATTATCACTTTTTTCACTTCTCATGCTCTAAAAGTACATCAACAAGTATCTATCTATATAGCCTTGCGTAGCGGGATTAAAGTGGATCATTAAAACTGTAATTTATTCTAATTTCCATTATTAATTAATAATATATTTAACAATATAGTCTATCGGGAGCTATCTAGCGGGCTATCATCTGTATTTTTTTTATAACTAAAAAAATTGTATGTGCATTTACAAATTATCAACTTATATGCGTCCGATTTTCGCACATGGGTTTATGGGAAGAAATAGCCTAATCTAACTGGTTCAATTGGAGAATTTACAAATTCTCGACCAGTATACACTAGGCGATGACAAAGTCGGAGATCTAATTCTAAGCGATTGCGAGAATTTAAATAATATTATTTGTACTCTGGACATTTATGATATCCATTGGAAAATTGGTCCCTAGATTCGCAAAGGGTATATTCAATGTAATACAATAATTTGCACAATTTGTCACTTATTTGAACAATGTAACAAAAGCAATCATAGATTACGACAGCTCATGAACCCTTGATGATAGGATTTCTTTCAGCTTAGGCATAATTTGATACATTTTCATGTACTGAAATAAATACTAATCAATGGCAAGACTCCGGAAACCCGTAGTAACTTCTGCACTTTTTTCCTTCTCCTTCTTGTTTTTTGATTTTTTGCCCACCGCCATCCATAAATCGCTGTTCAGTTTTTCCCTGTGAACAGAACACACATTGTGACATATTTTGTACCTTAAAAATATCGAAAAACAAGTCAAAAAACCTAGTAAGTTAGGCTATTGACGAAAAAATACAAAAGTGCTTTATTTTTTATACCGAATGTCGAACGTAAACTCAAGAAACGCGAATCGCAACTCAAAAAATTACGCTCGTGTAGTCTCACCTCTATTGTCTGTCACAACTGTGACACGTCCAATTTTATTCAGCCCTCAAAAGCGAACATTTTCCGCTAGTCATTATAATATTACGTCGAACTTGTTTCTATATATTTTTTTATAATATCTAGTAACGGAACGAACAAGTCGTGCGCCTGATGGCAAGTCACAAGCCTGTCCATAACAGTTGCAATGCCACTCAGAGTTTTCAATCACAAAGATCTGAGGGGCACTGCCACTGCGCCTGTGTCCCTGAGACATAAGTTGACCAGTCCCATGTGTCTGTAATTTCACCAGCCCTTCCAAACCGGAACGCAGTAATGCTTACTTGGCCACCGAAATAGGTAAGGTGGCAGTATTTCCCTGGACGCACTCTTTCACAAGGAGCTCTACAGCTACTAAGTATGAATATAACTCAGAGATAGAAAGAGATCGCAACGATCTACTATGCTACAGCTGTATAACGATAATTACGATAGTTACTCAGGAGTGGCACAAATGATGTTAAATAAATAATAATATTATTGATTTTATGGACCTGTGTTTGATAACCAAATCGAGGGCATCTTTCGTATGGTCTGCCATTTTTCCATTCGTGCCGCCGAAGTCTTCTGGCAGATCTTCCTTACTCAAATACTGGAACAGTGTACTCGATGTGGATGTATGGAAATGTATCTATGAACAAAAATATTTGTCACAACATAAAACACAATAAAAAACAACGACTTTAATCTATAGATAAGAACATTCACAGCAACTAGGTACATGATCCAAACAAAACACTATCAATAGTGATAGGATTTTGTTTTACTGTTGAATTTTGTCAAAGAGTATCATTACCGTAGTACCATGGACAGACGTGACGTCTACACCTATTGGGGATGTCCTAGGCAGGCATATACTAATGACAGTTTACCAATGATATTTATCCATAGTTGGGGAATTCATATAAAGCCCCTGGCAAAGTCGCTATTTGTGGCACAATGCGTTTCATTTTGCTTTGACCCAGGGGTCTTCCTTACTAAAAAGAAAAACAAATTAAGTATAAAAAATACAGTCGATGTTGAAATTATTGATGTTACGTTAAGTACTAAGAAAAGTACTTTGAGTTATGTACTTGCGGAAAGGCAAAGACGCTGCATGGTCTAAAGATCTTTAGACCATGCAGCGTAGTACATTTTATATTTTTAAAATTTATGTTGTGGTAACCGTAGTAACTATTTTATTCATATTATCCTTATACTCTGTTATTGTGTAATCAAAACACTCTGTTGCTTAATAATCTATGATATTGATGTGTTGTGTCTTCACCGCACGTGAGTGAAACACAGCGTGTGTATGGATCGTCGCATCTAGTACGCTAGTATGTACATTTATTTTTATTTCGAGATATTGCCACCTAAAGTATATTTTCTTTGAAAAATTACGTAGATTTTGCATAACAATAAAACTGAAATTAAATAAGACATTAAAAAAGCCGTTAAAGGTATTTCAAATTAAATTTACTAGCGCCCAAACTTGTTTATGTCAGCGAGATTTTTTTTAATATATTTCTTGTGCTCATTTTTACACAAATTACATAATATTTGCAGAATTAGTTGCAAAATGACAACTTAACTTAACTTTTCATGCTTATAGGAGAGTCATAAAATTTGACTTATTATATAATATGTATATAATTTATTTTGCTTCATGTAGTTCGTATTATTTTTATTACTTTCATGTGATAAAAGCACTTTGGCGTGCATTTATTATGGTGGTTTTATTATTATGACGACCTCGGTAGCTGAGTGGCTTGAGCACCGGTTTTCGTCGTGTCGTCATCTCTGAGGTCAATGTAGGAAACTAACTTATATATATTGTCTCGGATCTGGGCGTTTGTGGTACCGTTGCTATATCCGATTTCCACAACACAAGTGCTTTAGCTACTTACTTTGGAATCAGAGCAACGTGTGGGTATTGTCTAATATTTATTTATTTAAATAAGGGTACTATATAAGGTTGTTTTATCACTGTGACAAACGCCACAAGTCAGTGGTAAAAATTGCTTAATGACATGATTGTTGTAATTAGTCGTAATTAGTAGTTGTAACGAATCGATTTACTTCCTCATTCCTAATGTGTACGATTTGGGACTCTTCATGGCTGGAGTGAATCCCTGAGCCAAACTCAAAAGCCGTAACCGTTCCCTATGCACCACAAAAACCATGAGTGATAGAGATGTGTAAATGGGATGTGAGTCTAACGCGATGTGACTGCGGTGACGACACAGTCCATTCGGCACCTGCTCGTGAGTGCCTTGTGCCTTATTACCAGTACGAGGGAAGATCTCTACGCGGCTGCGGATAGTGCAGTCAAGTTAGCAACATAACATTCGAAGTAAATATAGTCGTTAAACAAGAGAATCATCGACGCGATAAGAATAAGAAGACAATATCGAATAAGCTTACGCGTGTCATCGTAGCTCAACGTTGTAGCCAGGCGTGGGTCTATTTTACATAAAAAACCTACCCAATAAAACAAAGTAAACAAGTAAAGGGAATGAATCTCAATTATGTTCCACCAAACGGTGTTGGGCATCGTCCCACGCGGCGTCTTTATTTAGACGCCAATCGATCGACACTCGTACCAGCATAAATATTGAGATGTGGACTTCACACGCACGCGATGTTATTATTTGTTTCAGAGATGTTAAGACATTTTTTTTATGAAGGTACAGTGCACCTGTCTAATGAATAAAAGATTTATAGCTATCTTTGAATTTTTACATTATCCACGTATTTGCTACGTGTTTGTTGGCATTCTTATTTGTTTAGGCATCTAGGGACAACGAAGCTTAGGGTAGATTCATCTAGAACAGAGCATCTTTCTATGGCTACCTGTTATCTACTTCGATGAACTCGTTAGTGGGAAAGATTAGGTAGTTTATCTTCTATCTATGGGTATCATCGAGCTCATTCAGTAGATCATGAAGTTATAGGCAGGTTGATGGAACAAAGTAGACAAGACGCTACTGTTAGCTATTATCTCAAGAGGAAACGTATTACGATTGTCCATCAGAGGGACTTTATGTCTCACATTATGATGGTGTCACATGAGGAAATAATCAGACATACGCAAGAAGAGCCATGGCCTTTTCATTGCTGTATCCGTCTTTACTGTTGCTGATATCGAATACGCTTGGGACGATGGAAGCACGACTATGTCAACCGTATTTCATATAAGTGAAGCACTTGTTACAAAATTTAGACTAACCATATCGGTGATCTCCTGCTTCATTAGAGGCTTCATCACAGCGAACAGTTTGTCCATGATCGAGGGCACGTTTACCAGGTGGATCTCTTTCAATCTTATCGGCATCGCATCCTGGAATTTGTTTATTAAACAACTTTGATAAGACTAATAGGGAGAATTCTCTCGCTTTTCTAGAGGGAGGATTGATTTGGAATCCCGAAGTGAGTCAGTATAAACAATTTATAAATTCCTTATCATCCCTTACGTTAATTTAACACTGACTGCATGAGAAACAGGTTCAAATTTCTTTGTTTAATAATGTGAAAAATTGGAGAAGATAAAAAATGAATTATTCCAAAAAATATTCGAAATTACCTATAAAGCTCTCAAACAGTTATATCAGTACAGTTCACTCGATTTTCCTGTACTCTGATATGTATTTTGTATATGTATGGCCAATGGTTTTAATAATTAAAATTATTTATCTTTCTTTGTTAGATTTTTCACAATTTTGCAATTTCCAGCGTCCGGATTAATTCCGATCAAAAAATCATCGATGATTTTTTTATCGGAACTTAGCATTGAAATTACTAACCTCTTGATATCTCGATATCCGCCTTCCCACGGACATATTAAATTTAGTTAGCATCTTTAAGGATATATCTTTGGCATCCATGAGGATTATGTCTGCTTCTTGCAGCGTGCTGTCCTCCAGCAACCAGGCGTCTGTGGTCAGTATGAAAATCTTGGCATCTTGGAGATAGTCGTAATTATCAAGACCCGGGTCATTAAGCTGCCAAATCCAGAGGTTCCTGTTTCCTGATATATGAAGCTGGGCTCGGTTTCTACAAAATAATCGTATTTTTAATGATATCTACAGTAGGTACGATATATTTATTATAATATATGTACATTTATTACGTAACCAATTGATCTGAAATTTTAAGTGGCATTAATTTCTTTCCCCCCAACCGACTGTGGGTCAGGTTGGTGGCTTTGAAAAGCATTAATGGCGTTTACCTACTCTCGCCTAAAAATGTCTGTTCTCTCTTAAATTTGATCAACTTCTGCTGTCCCGATTTTTTCGTACCATATAATGAAATTATCCTTATAAGAAGCTGAGTCTAACAGCATTAAAAAAATAGTCACTTTAAGTAATTTTATATGAAAAATATTTTATTAAATTTGACTAACTTTTGCTGTTACGATCTTTGTCGTCCCACACAATAAAATGATCCCTTCATGAAGTTGAATCGATCAACACTAAAAAAATTTTGACAATTTTATTCATTTTTATGGACAACACACGCCTGACCAAAAAATTTACTATCCCAAAAATGTTTTCACCATTTTTTATTTCCCCATTTAAAAAACACTATATTTTTTTATATTCTATATTTGCAAAGAGCACTTTTTCTAGCAGAGTCTTTCATGTCAAGGGTATTTCACCAAACGAATGTTGTAATAAAAATGGAAGTAAATTAATTTGCTACTTCGCGAACCCAGTGAAGCTTAAATCGTGCAAAACAGCTGCGCTTGTGTTGAATATTTTTTCATGCAGTTTATTATCCCACCCTCCCTCCGCATAAAATAAATAACACAAACGCAACTACAGTCACAAACCATCACCAAGAATATACCCGTGGAGAGGCGAAACATGTATTTATGTGTATATATATTACACTATACATATACATATATACTATATACAAATTGAGGCTATTTATTATGATTCATTATAATATTTATAATACTTATGTAAGTAACTGAAAAAAATATGGTATTTTTTATTTATTTAGTTTATTATATTTCCTTCTCATTCTCTCTTGCACGCCATTGCCCGCTTATAACCTTAGCTCTCACTGTCCTGGGTTGGCTGGAAGAGATCTCTTTTAGAGATAAGTCCTTTGCTTACTTTCTGTTAATCTAATGTTTCTGTTGTATTTATTTGGTGCAATAAAGAATATATATTAAACATTTTTTTTTAAACCAAAATATAAGCCACTTGTTACAAATGTGTACGATGCTGGTAGGTTACGTGTATAACAAAAAAAATCTATTTCTTTAACATACTTTCTGTCAACTATAACCCTATGGCTAAGTGGTATCGTTTTATAAACTAAACTATCTAGGATAACCGTTAGCAGATCATTTTATCGTAACTAACAGGCCAGCTTCAGATTGATGTTGTAATTAATTCAGCGGGATATTGCAAATTCGCACAGCGCTGTAGCAAGTTAGCAGTGAAATATTCATTGCAACATCCGATTCATCATGGCGTGATTACGATTTAAAAAAAATAAGTTTACCCTTGTACTTAGTAATGTATACAAATGGGGAATGGACTGCAGAGTATTTGTGCATTTACTTATGTACACTGCAGTAGCAAGTTGCACTATGAGACTCCAGAATTGTTTTTTTTTTTTATACCAAGTAATGGGACGAACAAGTCGTGCGCCAAGTGGCAAGCGACACGCCTGTCCATAACAGCTGCAGTGCCGGAGCTCTACGGCTAAGTTAAGCTAAGCTCTAAGTTCTAACTGGAAAAAATATTTTTAACTGCTCAAAAGAAGATGCTGAATCACCAGGGTCATCAAAATATGTTACAAATTTTAGATTTTTTTTTACTCCCTTCAAACATTTTTTTTATTCTTTCTCGTTCTTTTTTTTATTCCGTTTTTTACCATTTAAGGAAATTTTAACTTCCGTTTTAAAATTGACAATCGCTATCGGTTTTTATTGTGTATATTATTATTATTTTCTTTTCTTTTCTACTTTCGCGCTCCTCAAATAGCTTAATTCATGGTCTGTGGCAAATAAATGGAATTTGAATTTAAATTTGAATTGTGACCTAAGGGTACATCGCTTATAGCATCGCGGTTGACCGCTGTGTGTATGTGGAAGGTTCTAAGGGTCGTATTCTAGAACTCTTCTCAATGTTCAAGTCAGGATTGCAATTGAAACACAAGCACTGGAAATACGACCCTAATGGCAGGGACTTGAGTATGATTTCGAGTGCTTTAAACCATACTCAAATCCTGACTTGAGCATTGAGTAGAGTTCTAGAATACGACCCTTAGTCTGTATAATAATTTAGTAGAGGACCTGAGGGCGCCAAGGTGGGCACGGACCTCGGTTCAGGGCGCTACTGAACACTTCCAGAAGCTCACTTATAGCAAGAAATGTATCCGCTTATTGCTAAAATGTATTATAAATGAACACTAGTAGTGTCCTCTAGCGACTTTCGTACCACAGTAAACTAAAAATAAAAAATATGTAAAATGTATTTTACCGAGTTTTTTGGTTTTCGCGATTGTTACAAATTGGAAATTAAACTGTTTTCTACAGATCTAAATTACGTATATTTGTTTTTTCAAACAAACAAGATTTTGGTTTGACGGTTGACTCGGAAAAGTACACGGGATTTAGACACGGTAAAAAAGAGGGTTCCATTTTCAATTTATAATGTATTGAATATAAAATACAATCTTCTTATCACAACACTAGTGACAGTTTTAATAATTGTCTTAAAAAGTACTTATTTATGTGTATTGCAGCTTGTGCAATGTTTATAAATAATAATATTAAAGACAGCACCGATGAATGTAGTAAAAACGACTGTAAAAATCGAAAATGAGGAAAACCTCGTGAAACCACTTAGATAAACATCGTAACTTAGATTTCCAATTAAGATAACATGATAAAATTGTAAAAAAACAAACGTAGAAATTTCTGAAATGTTTGAAAATAATTATATCTTTTTGTTAAAAAGAATCGACCTCAAGAGTTTGTGGAATTAAACATATTTGTTATGTGTCATTGAAATCGATTAATGGAAAGTGGGTGAAACCCAATAAATTAGATTCAACCCCTAATTTGCCATCCTTACACGGTAAAAACAGATTACTTAGAAAAAGACAAAATTCTTTTTATGAAGACAAATTTATTAAATCCAACAAAACGATTCTCTCCCTATAGACGCTAGAGAATAATTACTTGATAATAGTAAAAAAACGTTTCAAAAGTGTATTTTCGTTACAAGACAAAAATATTTAATCCAAGAGCAAATTAATTTACTTCAAGTCACAAAGCCACTCTAGATTCAACAAAATATTTATTTGTTACTAGAAATGTCCGATTTTGATTTGAAAAAAAAAAGAATGAAAAATTGAGAGGTACTTAATTATTTGACTGAAGATTTATGTTTTCTAATATCAAAAAGGATAAATTTACAGGGTTATGGACCCAACAGTGCCAAACCTTAAAGTAGCAGAAATAGGATGGAAATATGGAATCTTCTCAAATACTTGAGGACCATCCAGTGCCGTATAAATGCTACAGCGCGGCAGAGAGCACTAACAATTTCAAATATATGAGATGACTTTATACTATTGAAGTTAACAAAACGATAGCGCGTTTCAGAGTACATCTAATGCCATCTAGCAGTGGCGTGATGGAACTAATTGCATGTTATGCTTGTTACAAGTGTATATAGTTTGATTTCATGCTGTAACCAAATTTCTTGAATTATGACTATAAAGAACACCCTAACAAACTAGAGATACTACGTATTGTTTCTTTGGATAAATGACTGTTTATGATTTTTATGATTACAAGCACAAGTAAAAGTAATCGTTACCGCGTGCGCCTTCGGCGACATGTCACGACAAGATTGACTATGAAAACGCAACGAAATGTTGCTTTAAGAATGTACTCTAGAATTTAGAATATTAATCTGAATAGAAAACTACTTCTTTTTTTGTTTAAGAATATATTTTCTTAAAATACACCCAAGAAATTTTGAATTCATTTAAGATTATTTAAATTTGATGTAAGAGGTAAAAATTTCTTGATATAAGTAATGTCCAATTAATTGATTAGAAATGAAATAAAATCTTGAAGTGAACGTATTTGTCTCAAAGTTAGAATAAAGTTAAGAGTAAAATTGTATTAGAAAAAGATAAGCAGTATTTTTGTAGTGACAATATTTTATTACTTTTAATAAATATTTTTTCAGAATTAGCAAATATTTTGAGAAATTTCTACTAATAAGAAAGAGCCTTATTAGTAGAAATCCTTTTTTTCTGTGTAGAGATGGAATGTTTTCTTCAAATTTGAATCGTTTATTTTTTATTATTATTACTTTGTTTTAGCAACTACTACCCGCACTAGCAAACCCTGTACCGCGAGTGCCACGGACACACATAGACAACCACAAATTACACCCAAGTTCACCAGAGAAATAAACGTAGGCCTTACAAATATTCTTCCGGCCCGGGAATCGAACGCCCTCTGCGCGGCAGTCCACCATAGTAACCATTCGGCCACGGAGGCAGTTTTACTGATTTGACAGTAATTGTTTTGGACGGATGTCGGACTTAGAACGGGACTAGATCCCCAGCTATGACAATTGCGTAGAAACTGTAGTTATGCAAAGGACTGGCATTCGCAAAATAAGTTTATAGCAGTTATTATATATATTTATATAATATTGACGATTTGATCTGAAAACGATCTTCGTAATCGAACTTAAAGGTGCAAAACTCACATTATACTAAAAGTTTTCTTTATAGCAGGCGATTCTGGGTCTCTGTTACTCAACAGATCTGGTGAAGATCCTCTGATGGTGAAGAAGAGCTCTGCAGCTGTTTTCGCCTTCTCCAGATCGTAGTAACAGCTGTGTAGGAACCGAAGGAGCAGGCCATCCGCTGGAAGTAAGATTTACAATATCTAAATAAATATCAGTAGGTGTGTCTGATAAGAAGACAGAGCAATAGTAGTAGAGCTCCTTGTGAAAGAGTTCGTCCAGGAATTACTGCGTTCCAGTTTCAAAGGGTTAGAGAGCTGGAGAAATTACAGATACATGGGACTTGTCAACTTATGTCTCAGGGTGTCGGGCGCAGTGGCAGTGCCCTTCAGATTTTTGTGATTTAAAGGTCTTGAGTGGTACTGCAACTGTTATGGACAGGCGTGTCGCTTACCATCAGGCGCACGAAGGCGCACACAGATGTCTTTCATGCTATTATGCGCAAGAAGGCTGCCTCACTCATGACGCGTGTGCGCGGCAGCGCTAATGGCATCGTAGCTGTTGTTGCCAACAAGCTGGACTGCCCCTACCAACTACATTGGGTGCAACTACACGTGCGTAGGATAGTGGTCTAGACGTGGCATTTCTCTAGAAGTAACATAATAACACAATAATAACTACTATACCATGGATCATACCATTACTATGGATCATGGTCCGAAATAAATAATTATATTCTATTATTGCGGGTGCGGAGAAACAACAAACATGAATCTAATTTATATCATGTTCTTTCCGTCCGAAATGGACAAGCTAGGGCCAAGGACAATGATTATCACATTTATAACGTCAAAGGTTATTTCAATAAATAAAGCTGTCATAATGTGGGATGTACACTGGCGCTCAGTGTTACATAAAATATAAAACGTGCAACGAGTCACTCACGTGTTAAAATCAGTATCTAGATGTAATTGTACCACTTCTCATTAACTACCGTAAATGACCGACATTTTTACCGTAATTAAATATGACGTACGATACGACACGCCTGTCCATAACATTTGCAGTGCGACCAAGAGCTTTAAATCACAAAGATCTGAGGGGCACTGCCATATGCCACTGCGCTCGACAACAGAGACATAAGAGTGGACAAGTCTGTGATTTCACCAGCACCGTTACTGCTTGCTCACATTACTGCTTGGCGGCAGAAATAGGTAGATGGCAGCACTTCCTGGACGAACTCTTTCTCAAGGAGTTTTACTGCTGTTAAAATAATATGCCGATAGCAGCCCGTGTAATACCTATATAGAGAACAATTCACACTTAACAATATATTTAGATTACGTAACAGCGATAACTCATAACCATGTCAGCGTTTATTACATAACAAGTAATAAGAGTATAACGGATTAAAAGATTTTTTACTCTAAAATTGTAGCAATATATTAAGTTTTACAATTAGATCTATGGTCCTCTTTAATGGTCCTGTTGTATAAGAAAATTCTGCAATATGTATTGTGTGGCTATTACAATGAATAAACAAATACTTTACATGTGTCTTTGGGTAGATGGGGCTGGCTATTCGTCCATTGCCTCATGGTGTCGACCAGGCTCTGTTTTTCTTCTTGACTTTCACCTCCGGACATGGTAATTGGAGTTATCTGAAACCTTTTTTTTTTGCAATTGACAAATCGATTTCAAAGGTGATTGATAGTAGAATACAAGAAAATGTCAAGACCAATAATACGAGTTATATTGATTGAGAAACCAACGGAGCAAGGAATAGTAGAAATAAACACGCCTCGGCATATTTATATTTATTGTTGTCAGGCCCTTGAACATCCTTTTTTGTTTCTTAAAAGAGTTTAAGTTGTACAATTAGGTATTGCAGAATATTACGATGTTTAACTAAGCGTACAACGACGAGTAGTGGTTGCGAAACTTTATGGTGAAAAATCGCCTTCTTACGTTACAAAATTTGTATACTTAAGATGTGATAACCATCTTTTTGTAATTATTTTCTTGCTGTAGCCATTGAAATTTCATTTCAGAGTAACTTTTTTGAAATTGAAACCATACAGGTACCTAAGTACACGCAAAAACGTCCTAAGTATGATTAAGATGCGTTCGCTGAGCGTGTGTATATCGAAGCCCACTAGCCATGTGTATATGAAGGAAGTATTTCTTCGATATCGGTGTTTTATGGAAGAGCCACATTCAGTAGGAAAAAGATCCTTATGTGCCTCGCGATTCGCGATTTACCAGCCACTTGCCTAAAGTAATTAAAAGAGAAGTTCTTAAAGGTGATCCTTGCCCAGGAATGATAATAAGAGTAGTATTTTTTTTTTAATTCACAACATGGCATTTTAGCCGTCATCGTCGTTTGAAATTCAAGCTAGATCTAGTTGTGTCGTAAACTTTACCTTGAGCGAATTATAAACAGATTACCTAGAACGGTGATCAAAGTGGACTGCATTGTCTACATTGACCCCCGGGAGTTCATTCCAACCTATAAAGGTCCCAAGTCAGCGAAAAAAATAGGGGGTGCACCCATTTAGGGAGGTCGTGACCAAAATTTAGGCTTCCCATAAATGAAATAATCCATATTTTACAGTTTATTTTATATAGACATATATAAAGTTCTTAAACATTTCAGAACAAACAAGACATTCGTTTAAATAAAGGTATAAAACTTAACGTCAACTGGTTTTTTATTTATAAAGTTTCTCACTAGCACTTAGTTAGCTGTAAAACACACATTTGAAGTTTAAAAAATTTTTGAAAAATTTAATAATAGTAAGGTGGGGGTCAAGGTGGGGCAAAAATGGCAAGTGGTCCACCAGACAAAAAGTTTGGAAAACACTGACCTACAATATCTCGAAATTTACTTTCCTTACCCCTTAGTTTGTTTTAAGAACACTCTGACTGAATTACACGATTTAATTCCGCCTTCCCCTTTTAGACATAGGCTTGGGTTTCACTCCTGTGTTGTGGATATTCCAAAGATTCGCACGAAGCGTTACGCTTCCGCATTTATATGGCGAACGGCTATGGAGTGGAATACCCTGCCTGCAGTCTTGTTCCCTGAACGTTATAACTTGAGCATTTTCAAGGCGAGAATGAATAGACATTGTTGAGGTGTGCATGCTCCATCGTCGACATCATCGTCACTTTCCATCAGGTGAGATGGAGGTCAAATGCGCATTTACATTTGAATAAAAAAGTGCGAAAGGGTAAATAGGTACAATTATTACATACGTAATATATGGGGTGTAATTGTTAAATGTGCCCAGGCGATTTTTTCGTAAATATGAGAGATTTATCAAAAACCTTTAAATTTGATATCAAAAGTATACGTTGCCTAATGAGTAAAACGACATCAATAACTTCTTATAAAACTAAAACTATCAAAAAAATTAACAGTAAATCGTCACATACTTTTAATGACATTCGTAGAGAGGTTTTGGTTCCGAATAATTGCTTTGAATATAAAATTTTGTATTTACTTAAAAATAAACATCACTTTGTTTTTACTCTATTTTTTTTCTTTCATAATATAAATAATACAAAGTGACGGGACGAACAGGTCGTGTGCCTGGTGGTAACCGTCACGCCTGTCCCTAACAGTTGCAGTGTCACTCAGACCTTTAAATCATAAAGATCTGAGAGGCACTGCCACTGCGCCCGACACCCCGAGACGTAAGTTGACAAGTCCTGTGTGCGTGTAATTTCACCAGCACCCTTACTCTTCGAAGCCGGAACGCAGTAATGTTCACATTACTGCTTCACGACAGAAATAGGTAAGGTGGCAGTACTTCCCCGGACGAACTCTTTCACAAGGAGCTCTACTGCTACTAAATTTGAAAAAAAAAAATTGCTAAATTAATTTATGGTGGTTTCGTTGTCTATAAACTTATCCCCCTGCTGAGCACGGATCTCCTTTAAGGTCCACATAGCTAGCTCAATACGGGTTGCGGAGCGCTTACGCTAAACTAGTTGGTTGGTTTGCTGTTAATAACCTACTTCTTAATGAGAAAAAAACAAATTGTGTGATATTTACATTGCCCAATGTTAGAGAGACTTTTTTAACCAACATTGTAGTTAGAAACGAAAAATTGAATCTTGTGGATACAGTTGTATTTCTAGGTATAACGTTAGATGCTAAATTGCAATGGGGTCCCCATATAAGTAAGTTATCAAAACGGCTCGGCTCTGCAGTGTACGCGATTAAAAAAATAAGGAAACTTTCAGACGTCGAAACCGCTAGATTGGTTTACTTCAGCTACTTTCACAGTCTAATGACATACGGCATTTTGCTTTGGGGTAATGCCGCCGATATCAATAGAA